TTAGGGCCTGAGGATTTTGGGAACAGTTCCCAATTTCATAAGCTGCACCTGTCCAGCCCTTGGCCACAGGCCTGCTGTATCTGGGACCAGCCCTTTCTGGCAGGTCATCTGTTAGACTGAGAGCACTCAGTCAGCAGGTATGCAGAACTGATGCTCCATGTTGCTTCCGACTCACTTCTAGACCCTTTCCGTGTTCACCCATGCAGTGTAGAGCAGAGCACAATGGGACACCATGCCCCTGCACCATGTGCTTGAGTGAATGAGTGTTTCACATCCCCCCACCATTGTTTAAAGTAGGTATCTAAAGTATTCAGATCAGATGTGAGTATTATTTCAGCTCTGGAGAAACAAGCTTGTTGTGTAACCAGGGCGATGTCATCAGCATATATGAATTTTCTTTAGGAAGTGCCTCGGAGGTCATGAATGTAAAGATTAAACAGCAGAGGCACAAGGACTGATCCCTGCAGGAGTCCATTGTTCAATTTATGTTTTCTCTTAATGTTAGAAAAAAAATCTAGAATCATCTATTGCTAAGCATGTTGTCTAATATATTAGCAATTTTAAGACAAGGTATGATGTCCAAAAATTTAACGATGAGTCCTTGTCTCCAGACTGTATCATATGCAGCTGAGAAATCAAGGAAGACAGCTACAGTTTTTAGTGACTCTTCAGAGCCATTTTCTATATTGGTAGTCAGGGTCATAATTTGATCGCAACATCCTTTGTTCGGTGTAAACCAGCAATTCCCAAACTGTGGGTCACAACCCCAGATGGGGTCACAACATCAGTGGATGGGGTCGCAGGGGTTGGGGTCGCAGGGGTTGGGAGTGAGGAGTCATACTGAGGAAATGGGGTCATGCTGAGGAAAAGTTTGGGAAGCACTGGTCTAAACCCTGCTTGCTCAGAGGGAATATGTTCATTTATGGTCTGAAAAATTCTATTATGTGTCAGTCTTTCTAATAATTTGTAAGTTACCCTTAATAAAGCTATTGGGTGGTAATTCTCAGCTTTATTGGGATCCTTACCAGGTTTTACTATCACTATTATTTTTGTCCTCTTAAATAAAGCTGATAATTTTCTAGTTTCCAAAATATTGGTAAAAAACTTCATTAGCTATTGAATAGCTTTTGGGCCACAGAATTTTAAGAGTTCTGGGAATGAGCCCAGTCAGATTATTTTATTCTTAAAAACTAAGTGCCTTATGGCTTTGGTCACCTACCTAGCTGCCATGAAGGTGGTCAAGCATTGGAACAGGCTATGTAGAGAGGTTGTGGAATCTCCATCCCTGGACATTTTCAAGACCAGGTTTGACTGACACTTGGTTGGGATGGTTTAGTTAGGGATGATCCTACTTTGAGCATTTTTAGATGTAGACTACAAAGTGAACAATCCCCCGTCACTCCCTTGCCAACCCCCTGATCATCCTAATACACTCCTTCCAGACCTGTCTCATCCCCCTTCACTGCCTAGGGAACAAGCAGAAGGAACTCACACTCCTGCTTGCAAGCAACAACTTAGACCTGGCTGGGCTAACTGAAACCTGGTGGGACCCTACTCATGATTGGGCAGTAGGCTCTGAAAGTTATAGGTTGTACAGATGGGATAGAGTAGGGAAAAAGGGGTGGGACATGTTGCTCTCTATGTTAAGGAGTAATATACATCTTCTATAATCAAGATGGGATCAGATGAGGGCCAAACTGAGGTACTGTGGGTTAGGATACAAGAGGGTTGGAGGGAAAGGGACTTGGTAGTGGGGGTGTACTATAGACCACCACATCAGGAGGATAAGCTAGACCTGGAATTCCCCAGGCAGCTCTCAGAGGCTGTATGGTCGAGAGATATGGTTTTCATGGGTAACCTAAACTACCCTGACCTGATGGGAGGATCAGTCAGCCAGAACTAACCACTCACATAGGTACTTAACCTGCATATAGGACCTCCACCTAACTCAGGAGGTATACGATCCCACTAGGGGGAACACCTTGCTGACCTTGGTATTGGCTACAGGGGACGACCTGGTGGGGGATCTGCAAGTACAAGGTAACCTAGGGGATAGTGACCATCAATTGATTGAATTCACTATCTGGCAAAGGGTGGGAAAAGTAACCAGCAGGGCAGAAGTGCTAGATTTCAGAAAGGCGGACTTCAGTGTGCTTAGGAGATTAGTTAGTGGGACATTAAAGCTCAAGGGCATTGACAAAATGGGGGTCCAGGAAGGGTCATCATTCCTCACGGAAGCAATCCTGCGCATGCAGAAGGAGGCAATCCCACTGAGTAGAAAAGGGGGCAAAGGGGCCAAGAAGCCCTCTTGGCTAAGCAGGGAAATCCAGAAAAGCCTAAGGGCAAAAAAAAAAGGGCATACAGGCTGTGGAAGCAGGTGGCAGCTACCAAGGAGGTTTATACCTCTTTGGCTCGCACTTGCAGGGAATCAATTAGAAAGACCAAAGCAGCATTAGAACTTAAGCTGGCAACAAAAATTAGGGACAACAAAAGTCCTTCAGGTATATAGGGAGCAAAAAAGAAGGTGCAGGGCAGCATAGGACCCCTACAGGTTAGACTAGGGCAGTTGGGGACAGATAGGAGGGACAAAGCAGAGCTCTTCAATGAGTTTTTTGCCTCGGTATTCTTGAACACAGATCTAGACAAATCTCCCAAAAGCATTACAGATAGAAGCAGGAAGAATACCATCCCACCTACTGTCGGTGCTGACCTAGTACAGAGACACTTGGAGGGGCTGAATGTGTTTAAGTCAGCAGGACCAATGAGCTCCATCCAAGGGTGATGAAAGAACTAGCTAGTGTCATAGCAGAGCCACTGGCACAGCTGTTTGAACACTCATGGTGCTCAGGTGAGGTCCTAGCAGACTGGAAAGGGCCACTGTGGTCCCTATTTTCAAGAAGGGGAGGAAGGAAGATCTGGGTAACTATAGACTGGTTAGTCTCACCTCTGTCCTTGGGAAAACCCTTGAAAAAATTATCAAGGATCACATTTGTAGGAGTCCAGCAGGTAATATAATACTGAAGGGCAATGAGCATGGGTTCATAGCAGGTAGATCCTGCCTGACTAACCTTGTTTCTTTCTATGACCAGGTCATTAAATGCTTAGATGCAGGAGCTGAGGTAGATGTCACCTACGTAAACTTTAAGAAGGCATTCGACATGGTATCCCATCCCATTCTCATAAACAAATTGAACGGCTGTGCCATAGACAATTACACAGTCATGTGGGTAGCAAATTGGCTTAAGGGTCATACCCAGAGAGTGGTGGTGGACGGGTTGGTATCAACCTGGGAAGACGTGGGCAGTGGGGTCCCCCAAGGCTCAGTCCTGTTCAGTATCTTCATCAGTGACCTGGATGAGGGCATGGAAAGCACTCTGTCCAAATTTGCAGATGAGACAAAACTATGGGGCGAAGTAAACACACTCATGGGAAGAAACTGAATCTAGGTGGACCTGGACAGGTTAGAGAAGTGGGCAGAAAACAATAGGGTGCAGTTCAACAAGGATAAGCGCAAGGTGCTGCACCAAGGGAGAAGAAATCACCAGCACATCTATAGGCTGGGGGATGACCTTCTCAGCAGCAGAAAGAGACCTTAGAGTTGTTGTCCGAGATGAATATGAGTCAACAATGTGACAAACTAATTAGCAGAGCTAACTTCACTTTGTCATGCATTAGTAGGTACATCAGGAACAGGTCCAGGGAGGTGATGATTTCCCTCTATGCAGCACTGGTCAGGCCGCAGCTGGAGTACTGCATCCAATTCTGGGTGCTGCAATTCAAGAGCGACGTGGACATCCTTGAGAGGGTCCAGAGGAGGGCCACTTGTATGGTTAGAGGCCCTCAGGGAAGGCCCTATGAGGAAAGGCTAAGGGACCTGGACCTTTTCAGCCTCAGCAGGAGAAGGCTGAGGTGGGTATCTTGTGGCAGTATAGGCAGACAAGGTTCTTTGGGTGAATTTGATATCTTTTATTAGACCAACCCAAATAGTTGGAAAATAGTTATACAAATTCACCACGGGGAGCAGTAGGGAATAGGAGATGCTCTGTTTACCAGGCCACCCCTTGGAATAACCATGAACAACAGCCACAAGCTGATAGAGAGTAGATTTAGGTTGGACATCAGGAATAACTTCTTCATGGTTAGGGTTGCCAGAATCTGGAACAGGCTTCCAAGGGAGGTGGTGCTCTCCCCTACCTTGGGGGTCTTCAAGAGGAGACTGGACAAGCACCTGGCTGGGGTCACAAGACCACAGCACTTTTTCCTGCCATGGGCAGGGGGTCAGACTCGATGACCCGTTGAGGTCCCTTCCGACCCTAGCATCTATGAATCTGGATGGTGATATCAAGAGCTGGGAGGAACTGACTGCTAACGGACTTCAGTGGCACGACAACCTCAATCAAGTGGCAGCCTACTTCAAGATAAAGCATCTAGCCCTCAAAGCGAAGAAGAGAGAGTGAAGGAAGGAAAAGGAGAGAAATCCTAGCCTGTAGCCTACTCTCCTCTGTGGAAAAACCTGCAACTTCTTTGTATGGATATGTGGCTCAAGGAAATCACCTCAAGACCCACCAATGAGCCGTGGTAGAGATCATCCTCAAATCAAGGGATTGCCAACACACACCAGTAAAATGCAGCAGAGACTGGTCTACTGGCAAAAGCAAGAGCTGATATCTGTAAGTGGCTTGCAAGCATCTCAGGATCAGAAAAAACAGATCTCCCTGCGTTGCCGAGAAGCAACTGTGATGTCGCCCAGGCGGTGATGAGCTCGCCCGACTCAGAACCTTCCAAGCTGTTCGTATCCTAACAACCAGGTGCTGTTTGGACCACAGACCTTGAGGCAGGGCAGCCAGGAGCCTCTTGCTACTGCAGTTAGTGCGAGCACAGAGCCATCTCCTATTCCTTGGTAATATCTTGGCCTGACTGCTGGTGCTGGGCCAGACTCTCTGGAAGGTGTCAAGGACCCTGAGAGGCACCAGCCTTGTCCAGTGTGCCCTGAGCTTACCATGAAGCAAAGCCAGGGGCTTCCTGGTGATGGCTGGGAGGTGGAGCCCAGAGCTGAACAGGAGGGGGCAGGTGAGTGGCAGGGACATCACCTGTGGCAAGAGGAGACTCAGAGGTGGGGCTGGCAGGTTCTTGGTGTCAGAAATAAAGAAACAATGGAACAGTTTAAAAGAAGTATTTTGATTTGGCTGTTAGAAGTTATGTTTGAAGACCAAACATGACATATTTCTTTGTTTATGAGAGATACTAAAAATTATAATAAAAAATCCGTGGCAGCAAAGTGGAAAGTTTTGGGCTGACTTTGACTTCCCGATTTGATGCTTCATTTTGCCCAGTTACAAAAATTCAGTTTGCCCAAGGGATTTACGGAGCTGGGCGCTCAGGGAGAACAAGAGCCCTTTCCCTGAAGGGGTGATACAACTGCCCAGAGCACAGTGTAGGGACAGAAATGTTTCAAAGGAAGGCAAGACAGAGATCTCTAAATGGGTTAAACAGGAAAGAGCCAGAGACCATCCAGAGGGGAAAACACAGGCCTTTATGGGTGGTGGGGAAGAGACCCCAGGGGAGATTTAAGGAGAGAAGGGGATAAGAAATTTGAGTTGTGGATCAACTCTCTAAGGAGAAATAGCAAATGGAGGTGTCCTGGCCTCTTGGAGCAAGGAGCTCTAAGTCCCGAGAGGATGAAAATGGGCACAGCCAGGCCCTGACTGCTCCTCCTGCTTCTGCTGGGAATGAATCTCAGGCTCCTAGATGTCAGGGCAGGGACATGTGTCCCCAGGGGCCACAACACCACTGGGACTTACAAGATAACTTCTAAGACTCTGTCCAGGCAAGTTTCTACCATCGCAAATGAGGGGCTCCGGGTCTTTTCCTGAGGAAAGTGTCAGATGCCCCAGCTGGGCAGGTCTCACTGAGTGGGCACCCCCTGCTCTCAGCTGTCAGTGTTTGCCTTCCCATTGCCAGAGATGCCCCTTTGTGCCCAGAACATGGAGGAAGGAGGCAGTTTCCCTTTGAACACTGCCAATCAGTCTGGGCCTTGCATTCTTGTTCGCAGATTCACAGAGACCCAGGGAGTCTCCCTGTCACCAGGAAGCCTGTGCAGCAACACCCATCCCTGGGGAGGCAGCTGGAGAGGGCGTCTCTGCCTCTGCTGCCCCCAAGGAACAAGCCAGGCAGAGTACCGTAACAAGCCACTCCTCTACCCGCATTGTGGAGCCTGTGGCCACCAATTACCTGTGCACCAAGAGCCCCTGTGACCCACCTGGCAGGGGCATGAAGAGGAAGAGGTCAGCAGTTGTGAGAGACACCAAAGAGGAGGAACAAGAGAAACACCTATATTACTATCATGTGACAGCAGTCAATGGCATCACTATGGCCTGGGAGACCAGGTTTGGCTTTGGTCCCATTAAGAAACGGCCCCGTATATATAAGGCCAAGTATACAGTGGGAGAGGACTTTGCTGGCTTGGACCAGAGCAGCCACCACACCAGGTCTGAGCTAGGTGATGAGGACACTGAGGCAGAGGACAGCACTAGAGGACAAGGAGAGGAGGCACCAGCCCAGAATGATGACAGCGAGGCAGTGACTGTCACCCCACAGGATTTCCTGCCCACCCAGGAGGGCCTGCAGTGCCTGGCCTGTTGCCGAATCTTCCCCAGCTTGGAGGCTTTGACCCATCATGTGAAACATGGCCTTCGTGAGGGCTTCAGCTGCCGAGTTTTCTATCGCGTGATGGCAGCATTCAGAGCCAGGAACAAAGCACAGAGGAGGAGATGAAGTTGCACAGAGCAGCAGATGCAGTGATGCAGGGGGGAGGTCAGCAAGTGTGTGGGACAAGCACAGAGCCCTTGCAAGGCTGCACAATAGGCCAGACCCTCCAACCCCAGAGGAAGCCCTCACTCTGTCCTGATTCTCCATCACCACCTCCCAGCTGCATTTAGGCCAGCAAATCTAGCCAGTGCGCCACACATCTCCGTCTTCCCAGAAGATTCACCAGGCTGTGCTGGGCCTCTTTAGCCCACTCTCCTTCCTCAGCCCTACCAGACAAGCCAGACCCTCGAGTGACACCCTTGGCCACTCCCAGAGCAGAGACGTAAGGGAAGCCCCATGAGCAGGGCCTGGCATTGCTCTTCCTACTAGCCCAGACAGCACCACACCAGAGAATCAGGGGAGAAAAAAGGCCTGAGGACACCTGCCAGCCCTCTGCCCTCGCATCCCCCACAGGAACGGGGCTTTGCTCACTGCCCTGAAGGTGGAAACCTGTAAAGGGACACAGGGTTCATTCCAATATCCCAAACCACACACAGATGCTGGCCCATTGGCAAAGAAAAGGGCTGAGGAAAACGCTCTACAACACCCTCAAGAGGGAGCGGTGTGGGATTCTGACGGCCAAGTGTCCCCATCACACAGACAGCTCCAGGTCCACCTTGAGCACCGAGACAGCCATGGAGATGTGCGTATACAGACAAAGCTAAGTGTTGCTGCTCTTTAGGAGCTGGCAAACTCCTGGGGGTCACACAGGGCTTGTTGGCACTGCTGCCCTCCAGCCCTCAGGCTCAGGCCTGCCTGAAAGCAGCTGCATAGGATGAGTCCAGAGCAGCCTTATTGGAGAACATCCATCTTTGGAGCATGGCACTGTGTGAATTAGGGGAGAGGAGGGTTGGAAGGGGTTGGATGGGAGGTAGAAGCTGAAAGACCAGGTATGGGCCACACTGATCTGTGCCAGTGTAGGCTGTTGTGGAGACAATGCCCCGACTTTGTGCCCAGATCCTCCTCATAGCTTACAGCCCAGGTTCACTTGTAAAGGCAGCTGCAGATTGCTGGAAGGATGCAAACAGGTTTTAGAGCCTGATCCTGCTCTTCAGCCACAGGAGCTCAGCCCCAGCCCAGCACCACCACAGGGACCTTCCCATGACCACAGCACAAAGCAGACACCTTGGTAGATCTCCTACCATTGGTGCAGAGCCCTCTGCTCTCTGAGGAGCAGCCCCAAACCTCTTAAAAATGGGCAGCCTATCTGCAAGGGAATGGTGGAGCATTCTAGCCATTGCTAGAGGAAATGAGGTCTCAGAGGGGCCGTGAGATCCCACCTTGTCAAATTCACCCTAATCCCAAATCTTTCTTGTCCCAACAGATAGCACAGATGGGCCTGTACTGTGCTGCTGCCAGATGCGCTGCTGCCAGACAGGGAGGATGAAGCCACACATCAGAACAGCTGTTACCCTATTACTGCCATGCCCGCTGTACCTGCCATATGCCATGATGTGAGTATCCCCACCAGAAGAGAGAACACAGGAAGCTGGGGATGAGACTGAAAGTAGGAGTGTCCCCCTGGGTTAGCAGGAGGAAGTAGCAGAAAAGAGGGAAACAGCAAGCCTGAGGGATGGGGCTGAAACAGGATGGGATTGATGTGGAGCATCTGAGGGAGGGGGTCAACATAGTGGGCTAGAGAAGGGACAGGGAGATGCACCTGCCCAGGCAGGATCTGTTTCCCAGTAACCCAATTCCTTGCGAGGGAACTTTCCCACCCAGTCCTGCTGCTCCCTGCACCATCAGCACATCGGATTAAATGGCATGGGACATCGGGGCCTCCTCAGGCTGCCTGCCTGCCTGCCTGTGATTGGTATGGCTGTGCCTGCTACAGCTGTGAACAGCTGGCACAGCCCAGAGCACTGGCTCTATGTGCTCAGTGACACTCAGAGCCCAGCGGGGGCTAGAACAGGAGTGGGTGATTATTTGGGCTGGAGAGCCACTTAACGAGTTTCGTTGAGTTGTTGACAGCTGCACATACAATCATGCATGTGTGTATGGGCGCGTGCGCGCGCGCACACACACACACACACACACACACGTGTGCTCCCCACAGCTGGGGCCAGTGCCAGAGCAGCAGTGGGAGCAGAACCATAAGACTGCCCAGTGCTGTAGCATGCCTCTGCAAGCCCAGAGCCAGCGCCTGCCAACACCACCCGCAGCTGCGGAGCAGGGGATGGAGCATGGCCATAGGCCTCCACATGTCCCACCCCACCATCAGGGCTCCTGGTGCATGCATGCACCCCGCCACTCACCCACCCACTGAACCCCACAGCTCCCAGGAACCCTGATGGCAGGATGGAACAGGACAGTGTGGTGGCCCACAGACAGACTCCAGCCTCCACCTGCTGGGCACTGCACAATGGCTGGAGCTGGAGCTGCCAGGGCCTGAGCGCAGCTCACCCAGGGCCTGCCACACAATGCCAGGTGGGCAGGCGGGGCTGCTTCTACCCAGCATCCCCCAGCACTCCTGGGAGATGGAGTTCAGCCCCACAGGCTCTGGACAGACTGGATTCCATCTCCCAGGCCACCACACAGTGTTGGGCAGCCAAGCCAGTGTGGTTGCTTCTGCCAAGCATCCCCCATGGTACCAGCGGAGGATGCCTGTGCCACCCACCATCAGAGGCTGTGTGTAAAGCAAGGGCCACCCCAGGGTTGTCAAGGCAGCTGCACAGCCGCAGAGGTGGATCAGGTTCTGTAGCCAAGCATGAGGGGCTGGAATTACAGTCACAACTGCTTTCAAAATAGAAAGGAAACAGCAGGATCCTTCTCCCTCCCCCAACACCATTCAGCCCACAGAGACAGACATGGACCCTTCCTCAGCTGGTATGAAAGAGGGACAAAGAGGAACAGCCAGGGAAGTGAGAGTGACACATCACACCACGACAGCTGTCCTTCAAGATCTCTACATCCACGAGGAGCTCCAGGAGGACTTGGCAGAGGAGTTGTAATGGCGTGAGGCCTAGGCTGGGGTAACATGAAAGAGCTGCCAGAGTGAGGTGGGCCTGAATGGGGTGCGGCAAAGGAAAGGAAGATGCCCACTTCCAAAGAGGCAGGAAGAGGGGGCTGCAGGCTTTCTAGCAGCTTGACATGGCATGACTCCTTGAGCGGTCTGACTTGGCTGACCCCTTCTAATGGAATGACTCAGTATGACCACCTGTGTGACCTGACATAGCATGTCTCTACTACCTGCCTAATTTAGTGTGACTTAACTCAGCATGAGCATGTACGTGGCCCAACCTGGCATGACCTCCTGGGTGCTCTAACTCAGCATGTCAGACCAACTGGGATGTCTCAGCATGACCCCCCCTTGTGGTGTGACAAAATAATCACACGTGTGGCCTGACTGGGCATAACCCCCCCATTAGTATGACTCAGCATGACCCCCACTAATGGCATGACACAGAATGATCATATGTGTGACCTGACTTGTCATGGCCCACTTGGTGGTTTCACTTGCCATGACCTTCCAGGTGCCCTGACACAGCATAACCTTCCAGGGGTGTGGCTTGACATGAGCCCACTAGTTCACTGACATGGCATGAGCTGCTGAGTGACTAACTTAGCACGAGCTCCCTAGTTCTCCCATTTCACGTGACCTCCTGGGTGGCCCCACTTGGCATGACCTACCTAGTAGCGTGACTTAGCAGAACTGCACAGGTATCCTACCTCAGCAGGACCTCTCCAGGGGGCAACTCTACATGACCTCCCCCAATATGATCCGACTTGGCATAAACTCCCAGGTGGTGTAACTCTACAATATGAACCCCCTAGTTTTGTGATTCTGCATGACACCCTGATGACACCTTGACTCAGCATAAACCCCCTAGGGGCCTGACTTGGCAGGACCCCCTTATAGCGAGATTTGGCATGACCTCCTGGGTGGCCCAGTTTGGAACAAGGCCCATAATGACCTATCTTGGAATGAGCTCCTGGGTGTCAGGGGTATGACCCAGACATGGGGGGTCAGGGTTCAGAAGCAGAGGGTCAACCATGCCAGAAGCTGAAGCCAAGGATCACGATGCAGGTGTCAGTCTGAGTTCAAGGTGTCATACCAGGGGTTCAGGCCAGGCCAGAAGTCAGGAGCCAAAGGGTTCAAAACACACCATAAGGGGAGTAGGAACAAGGTATAGGGGTCAAAGGCTAGACTGGAGCAAGACAGGAAAATGAGGTAGGAGGGAGATAGAAGCAAGGCAAAAGAGTCCCAAATACCAGGACAACAAACACTGTTGCTAGGACAAGGCCCCAGGGCAAGTGGGAGAGTTTTTTAGCCCTCCCATCAGGGGGCTATGGCTTCAATAGCTTTTCTTGGGTCACATGGTTATCCATTAGGAACCTCATGGGAGGGCCCAGGCTGGGCTTGGTACAGCACCCAGCCAGCTGCTTGGTGGTGCTGCAGCCCAGGCCTTTGTCCATGAGCCTAGAAGACCTGGATTGGAGTCCTACAGGTCCTAACACTGCCCCCTTTTTCATGGCAACCCCTGGGCACGTTAGTGTCTGGTTTGTCTGGATGAGCATGGTGGGAGGACTGTGTTTTATCTGGTATATGGACATTTTATGCAGGTTCTCTTCTGCGCTACATCTTTCCCAGGCTGAAGTAGAGAAGTCTACTTCTTGACTTTTTGGAATCTAAGATTTCACATACAAGATACTTCTCATGTATTTGTATGGGGGTGGAGGTGGATGGCGACATTCTGGGAAGGGATCTTCTACATAAGGTTTTAACAGAAATACATGAAACACTGGGAGAGCAAGTTCAAATGCTATGGGGCTAATTTGGCATGTTATGGTGTAAGGTCCAGGATGTTGGTGGTCCAGCTTCTGTTCAGGGTGGTCAGTGTGTCAGTTCCTTGTTAATGGCCAGGCCTTTTGACCTACTACAACTGGGGGAATCTTCCTGGTATTGCCTATTTACCTGTTTTATGTAGCTGTCTTAGGTCAGCCATAATTTGGTGAATAGTCTTTAC